CACACACACACACACACACACACACACACACACACACACACACACACACACACACACACACACACACACAAAAAAAAAAAAAACATTACTACTGTCTGCCCAACACATTATTTGATTATAATAACTTTACAGTTCTGTTACAATTTGTTAAGTCCAACATTGGCAATCAAGTGTAGATCCAATATCGGCATTCAAGTATAGACAGGTCTATTTACTACATCACTTGCCCTTCTACACAAAACACAAAAGCTAGATGAATGAAAATGAAAATTAAAGAAAATGCATCTGACCTGAAGTTCGGGGTATGATCTAGTTGTCTGGTGATGTAAGTTAGACTATTAACAGTATTGTGAAAGTCTTACCTTGGAGTCATGATCTCTTGATTTCCTGTGTCGGTCATCTCTACTGTCCTCCTTTACATTCACACAAAAATAACCAAAGCAGTCATAAATGGAAACTTAGAAATGCAGTAACATAAGAAAAGAATGGAAAAAAAGAAAAACTGCTTATTTATACAGCACATGCATACTGATAAATATCATGTAAGAAAATATAAAATAAGTGATACTTATAAATTATAATAAATATAGATTTTCTATAATAAGCATAAGTGTTTACAGTACAGTACTTTACTGTATATGAAGTCTACAGAACATTTAGGTTGAATATCTAACATAAAAAAACAAGGAGCACAAAAGATAAATAACATGCAGAGCAAAAGGAAAAAATTAAGTGAAAATGAAAAAGATATTTAATAATCTGAACCTTTGAATGTGATTTTTGATAATTTGCATGTTTTTCTACAGGAAACATCTCACAATTCTGGTTATTGCTTTCATCATAATGATAAATTAATATCTTCATTTAGGGCATTTTTATGTAAATGAAAACTACTTTGCATTTTACATTATTGGCAATGTCCATTCACAGCAAACTGCATTTTCTAAATTGTGTTTTACATCTTTTTAACTACTAAAATCTTATGGTATCCCATATCTCATTTTTCTCCTTTATTTTCATATTAAATTAAAACAGTTACCAAAATCATCTTACAGTGTATACAAGCCATGTAGGTCATCCAAAAGTTCAGACTCCAATAATAAATACTACTAACCTTTCTATTCTCCTGTGATCTGTGTCTACTATCTCTCTCCCTGTCTCGGTCTCTCTCCCTAGATCTCTCCCCCTCCCCATGACGTTTATGCTCTCTCTCATGTTTCTCCCCCTCTTCCCTATGTTTTCTCTCCCTGTCCTGATCCCTGTGCTTCCTATCACTATCATCCCGTTCCCTGTGGTGACCGCTTTTCTTTTCTCTATCACCATTTACCTCATCCTTGCTGCCACGCTTGTCGTCACGCCGATGATCATCGTCTTTTCTTTTTCGATCCTCTTTGTCTCGGTTGTCTTTGTCCCTGCTGCTCCTGTGGCGGTCATCATCCTTAGACCGTCGGTCATCGCGGTGACGGCTACTGCTTTCATGTTCTCTGTCTCTATTTTTGTCCCTGTCCCTGTCTTTGTCATCACGTCTCTTGCTTTCCTGCAATAATAATGACACAGATTAAGTTAGTAACTAAAACGTGTCCAATGGTACAGTGAACACAGTGTAATCAATAAAATACTGAAAAGCAGCTCATCAGTCACTTAGCAGATAACTTACAGAAAAAAAAAAGAAAAAAGAGAGAAAAAATTACTAAAATTATGCAAAAAAAAAAAAAAAAATCCTCATGGATTACACTTACTGATACAACCTTTTTTGTCTGAAGAGAAGTTTTCTTGAAAGGGGAAGGTTTTCTACCTCTACTTGAGTGAGCTACAGTAATAGCACCAGCTACTCTACTGCTGGCTTTTGTTCTAGACTGTGAGAAGTTTACAGAAAAGATAGAAGGAAGTGAGAGCCAAGACAAGTCAAACATAGAGAGACAAAGAGTGTGCATAAAAGCAGATTAACATGAGAAAATTCTACTTGGATAGTGGATAGTTCTAAACCGATGATTCTACCGATGTATGAATTTTTATAATGATAATGAATAGTTATGCAAAAAAAAAAAAAAAAAAAGACCATGCAATGCAATAACACTTTTACTTCATGTATGTACTCAACCCTGACCTCTTCTTTCTTTCTATCTCTATCTTTCCTGTCTCTGTCATCTTTCCTACGGTCTCTACTGCCTGAATCTCCATTTTCTCTGTGTCTGTCTTTTCTATCCCTATCTCTCTCCTTTTCCCTTTCCCTGTCTCTTTCTTTATCTCTGTCTCTGTCTCGATCTTTATCCCTATCTCTTCTTTTGTCTCGATCATCTTTTGATCTTCTCTCAGAATCTTTGTGAGCATCCTAAATAAATTATAATAAGCACATTACATTCTAAATAAGCCCTTTTAAGTCTGTCACTGCAATTTTTCCAGACAGATAAAATAAAAAGTTTCGATGTTAAAATATATGTATGTCTGGGGTAGTGCTAGCAAATTTTTTTTCTTAGCCAAGTCACCACATTTTTGTCAATTTGTTATCAAAATGGTTACAATTTGGCTAAAACAAGTCAAATCAAGCCCTTTTTCTTTAGCCAATTTAAGTCAGTTTTAGCATTTGTGCTACCCCAGTATGTTATAGAGCACTTTTTTAAAGTAAACATATTTCCACAATTAAAACATGTATACACACACTCTTATTTGGTGTGCTCTTGACCACTGAGAGTTGTATTTCTCTATAGTCAATAAAAACATTCATAACACTTCATGTCTTCAACTGGAATCCACTGGAAAGGTGTCTTTCCTATTATCATTACCTTGATAGATTTTTTCAAATCTGCCTCTTTCCATGTGTCTTCTTTCGTACGTCGCTGAAAAATACATACAGTAAATAAATATTGTTAAGAATAATTTTATGTTATAACTAAATACAATCTACTTACAAGTAGCACTTAAATAAAGCAATGTTTCTGTTTTATCAATGGTGTCTAAAAATCTGTTGACTATGAAGGAGTCATGTACAGGCTCTAATGCAAGCAATGGCAAGAACCGCTGTCATGGTGGTGGAAGATATATGACAGTGTTAGCAATTTTCAGTTCTGTTGTGTTTGTCTCTGTGGGAAAGATACAATTAACTGGTATTAACGTTAGCAATACATTGTGTGTCATATCAAATCATTCAACAGACTTTGGCAACGCATCACGTATTCTATGACAATGAATTATCTGTGGTGGACGAAAAATCACGCTCTTCATCAAACAGACGCCAGTAGGCAGGATTTACAAAAACTGACGCGTCTACATCTCAACTGTTTGCAACTTCTATGACAGTACAATTCAGTGGCTGAGCAGGGGTATGCAGACATTTACAGTTTCATGTTCGTAGCAACAGAGTAAACTATGAAATTCAAAGGTGCATGGTGTATTTGCTCAAGCCACAATTTTGCTTATTGATACCTACCTTTTCCGAAGGCATTGTGGATATTCTATCCGCCCACGATCAAGCAACATATACGTAGTATTATTTGTAAATCCGCAAATATTCACCTCTCTTCCATCACCGCCACTTTTCAGCAAAACTATTTCTTTAAACGCGCATGCGTAGAAAGCACTTGCCGGTATTGCAGTAAAATGTCAAAATAAATAAAGAGCATCCATTTAACATTTGGCTGTCACAAATCTGCTCATTTGATCCACTCTTGCTTCTTGTGAAAGCAAATGAAGTTAAAATACAAATATCTTTTTTACAGATTTTCATGTTTTACGACTTTATTTGCTGTAAGTGGATACTTTAGAAGAGTTCAGAAGAGTCCATTGCGGTGGGAATGAATGTGGCCAATCTAGATACGACAGCTCTATCAACTATCGTAATTCCGATCAAGAACAAAGTTCATTGTAACAGGATACACACATATATCAATTTTTCAATATTTCTGATTCTTCATTTGTCCTTAATTTAAGTTTGAATGACATACACTGAATAAAAACTATTTAACTTATATCAGGTTCCACCCTATCTTTGTTCGACTCGTCCGAGGTCAAAGAGAAATGGAGCACCAAGAAAACCGGCTACAACTACAAGGTTATCCTTGAATTTTGATGAAAATACAATATTTTTCTCTGGTTGCAGTTACCAAAACGTAGGCATGGCTGATAACCAGTCGCAGGTTGCACCTCCACCCCCAGCGAAGGGAGACACGACGATCTTGCAGTTGGTGGTGCGGTATTTGAAACTGGTCGCCCTCCTCCTACTCGTCTGGATAATGGGCTATTTCGACTTCAGCGTCAGTTGGATCCTCCTCGGTCTCTTCATCTTTATGTGGAATGAGACATACCAGAGGAGAAAAAAGCTCCAGACTGAGATTGCCCAGTTTTCAGCGAAGAATGAGAAGGATGAAATATTGGCAAGAGTGGAAGATTTGCCTTCATGGGTATGTAGTACATGTACTATCATTTTCAGATGCACTTATTATTTGAAATACTACTAAAAGTACTGCTAATAGTTTTATTATCAATGTGACACCATGCAAACTAAGAAACATATTATTTGTAGTGTACTGTTTGCCCTAAATAAGTTGGGATCGTATCCTAATGGTGACAATTGCAAGGTGTTTGTCAACTGAAAGTGCAACACTAAGAGTTAATTGAATTTTTAGTACTTGTGAATATCATGGAGCAGTGCAAAGTGAACGTGTGACGAGTATATGCATCTATAAAGAAATAAGGGTCCAGTGATTCCTGTACAGAAATAAAATGAACATTGTCACTTAAAAATGAAAAATGAAAAAGCAATAAAAATAAATGTAATCAATATGATTGTATAGAATCACAACATAAATTGGAATTTATTTGTATATTATTCTGTTCTAAATGATAATAAAAGTCTTAAACATTGACAGACTTCTAGCTGCATAAAACTAATATATAGGAAAAAATAATTTTTTCACTATTATTTTCATGGTAGTGGTCATCATATGCATGGCAAGCAAAATGTGGAATGACGTAATGTATCACATGGTAAAGTTGCTGGTGGTTGCACTGAGTCAATATAATGCATGATTACTGATTAATATTAAGAAAAATATTATGCAGCTTGAGTTTTGCATAAAGTACCATCATTTGCAGACTCAGGTGCAGGTATCTGTTTTGCTTAATGCAAACATAAATTTATATCCTTGGCTGCAGATTATATATTTGAAGGTAAACAAGAAAAAAGTTTAATTCATACTCGCAATGCAGACATAAAATAATGCAGCCTGCAACATAAATTTAAAGGGGGAGAAATAGCAATCAAACATTTAATTGAGACTTGCATTGGATATAAAATTTCCCAGACAATAATATAGATTTTAAGGTGAACTGAAAATATCCTGACACAAGCACATATGATTTACATCTCTGCCAGCTATCACTTTGTGTATACCCGTACATTCAAGTTATTTTACAGCCATGCATCTTTCTTTTCAATGTGTTTCTTTCATAAATCAATAGTTTTCCAGAAATAACCCCCTATGTTGACCACTCATTTATCCACCATGCTATACATATATTATATAAGAACATTAGTGAACCACTGTGGCCAGGTAGGTAGTAGCAGGAGCTGTCAGGTAATAATAAACAAAACAGGTGGGATAGTTGTTATCTCTTCTCTCACTTTGATCAGATTTAACCTTCCTCTTTAAAGAAGCTGTTTAGTAAAGACTTGGCTAGACTTGGGTGCTAGAAGTACTTTTCTCAGAACTGAGTATATATATATAGGGTTGTGCCAATGGCTCAGATGTTTAAAATCAATAGTAATGATAGTAATGACTATAATAACAGTAAAAGTGATAACAGTGATTTATTTAAAATAAAATTCAAAAGGGTGAAGTTTACTAAAAATATGAAGATGAAAATAATAATTATAGTACTTAAAAGAAAATTAAACAGATAAAGAGGCAAATAATTGGTTGGCAGCATTGGTTTTCTGTGCAGCAACTGGTATTATACCATTTTGTCTGACCTTTCTCAACATTTCCCCAAAATATCCTAAAGTTTCCTGGACTGCCAATTACTACATGTTGTCTGTGGTTCTTGATTTATAGGCAACCTTGATGCTGTCTGAAGGCAGAAACTTACAAGCTTTCGTATAGTTTTGCCATTATTAAATACTGGTATGGATTAACTAGTACTAGTAAGGGATATCTATTGAACAAGACTAAAAGATTTTTTTTTCTTTTTTTGAGTTTTCATCTTTTTTTGACAGCTCTTGTAATTATCAACACTAACGGGCAATTGCAAGGTAATTGATGTCAAACTTACTTATGGTAAGTTGGACAGGCCTTTTTCTGGGGTACTAGTAATTTCTTTTCAGATACTAGTAAATGACTGGAAAGGATTCAGCCAAAGAAAATGTTAAACCGAGTACAGCTTTAACAAAAATAGTGAAATATTTTACACTTACTGCCTAATGAAAATGTGATAAGTATTTTTTGCAAAATTTACAATTCCAGAGTCAACCTAGACTAAGATGGCAATGAACAGTCAAGACCAAAATTAATATGGGTCTAATTCTGTAAACTACATATGTATTTAATCAATTTGAAACCAAGATTTGTCAGAACTCTTCACTCATATTTGAAGTGTATCTACACCAGCTGCTGTTGGTGCCTAGTTTCAGTCTTGTTAAAGTAATCCTTTGCATTCCTTTTAAAAATGCCCTTGTCACTTGATTGGTGACCATAAAAAAATACCTGTTCACTGTGATGGGTGGAGGTGAAATTGGGACAAAAATGGGGGTCATGACCAGTTGAAGGTGGTTCTCTTTATTTATAAATTTATTTATTACAGTATCTAGGTTCCTGTCACCTGCAACCTCAGCGCATGTAATTCATGTACTAGTATACATGTTTCAATATGTCAAGCAGCCGCGCGTTATGATTCAGCATATACATAATAAGGGCACTGTATTATTCAACATGATGTAAACAAACATCAATTCAACTATATTGCAGGGAACACATGCGCTGTTGCTTTATTGATATGAGGCTCTTAAACATCTCAATTGGTTTCTAGATTGATGATTGAGGTAAACCACACAATAGGTTTCTGTACAGTTGTCTTAGCTCAGCATATGTGGCTACATTCACTGCATTGTACAAAATTGCTTTTTTACCAGAACATTTGCAAAATTGTCAGTCTGTCTGTCTGTCTGTCTGACCCTTCTTCTGTTTATATTATATCAGTATATATCATTTGTACAACTGTAGCATATGTCAAATTCACCTGAGGCAATTCCAGCAGAGTTAATCTATAATTTGATGTTGAAAGGTTAATCAACTCCTCAGTATTCCCCCCCCCCCCCCCCGTTATTTTTTTAAAATTTATTTATATATAATGTGGCTTATGGCATGGCTTATTCATTTGAAAAAAATTAAAGTAGAAAAGAAAGTGGAATTTAACACTGCCTTGTGCATAAAATTCTAACCAATTTTTTTTTTTATCTCAAGATAAATACGGTATATACGGTATAATATACCAGGGTAAGTATTCAAATTTCATTAGAAAAGAAAATGAACAAATGGATCAACAAACAAATAACAAGAAGCTACAAAATAAGCCATATCACATGTTCACCCTTGAATTCAAGGTTGTGAAGTTTTGTAGTTTGTGCACACTCCTGTAATACATTAAATGATTTGTATACCTGGAGCAATATTATGTCAATATACCTGTGTAGTTGATATGGTGATGATAATCCGAACCAAAGAACTTACTCTACATCACATAATAGTGTGCTGTTGGTTAACTGTGACCTAGTCTTAAAGAGGTGAAAGGCATAGGGAGTTGTAATATAGGATAGTATTATAGTGGTCCTACTAAAGTGTCATACCTGTATGTACGTTTAATGGTAATGGTTTGATAATGTCACCTGTAGAGCATTAAATGGGATTTGAGGTCTCAACCTACCTTGTATCAAGTTGTATGTGTGGTTGAAATGGCAACAGTTAACAAAATGTTAGATTACTAGTAAATCTTTGTCCTGTGGATATGCTTGGCTGCAGTGTCGGCGAAAAAAATAATTGTGTAATAACCTGAGCATCATGACTTGAAAATTTACTCAAAAAAAAAAAAAAATGTTGATTCAAGTGTTTTGAAAAGATACCTGGCTTATTATCAGATTTTTTTTCTTTTCTTTTTTTTTTTTTTCTTTTTTTTTTTTTT